CCTGCAGCACCGTCTTGACTTCTTTGCTCATCCTTCCTCACTCTGCACAATTGGATTCCAGGGGTATGGTTCAGTGCTTAGCTGTGGGGACCTGTTTCTGCTTCAAACAGCTACAGGATGAAGGCTCTAGGAATGGTAACCAAAGTAGACATCAATCTCCTTATAGGGTAAGGGCATCAGAGGCATCCTCTCCACCACTGCCTAGATTCTTGGTTGGGGTCATCAAAGTGGATCTCCTAACATTTCCCCTGTGCCAGACCTCTCTAAAAACCTGTATTGTCTCCCTCTAAGAAAGTATCTCCTTTCTCGTCCTCCTCTATTCCTCCCCTGTCTCAGTCCTCTTGTTCTCCTCTCCCCCTCCCCTTCTTCCCTTCCCACCTCTTTTCTCTCTACCCATGTCCCTTGGCAATTTTCAAAGCACCTTCAGAAACCATGAGAGACAGTCCTCAGGCAGGAAGCTTCCAGGTCAGTTCTATCTTCATCCCTTCAAGCCCTGTATGTGAAGTACAAGGTATCTTCAGCAATGGAGTTTTGCCTTCAAGTTAATAGCAAAGACAAAAGTGTTCTGGAGTCCCCTTGGGCTCCCTTGAACAACTGAAAGGGATGTTTCCCATGCTTAGCACTTGGTTTATGTTAGTCTATGGCTCTTGTAGGGAGCATTATCACTCCATGTGGCATACCTTTTGCTAAACTAATGCAGATATTAACATATATATTTAATATTACATGCATTTTGAAATAAGCTTGTAAAATAAGGATTCCCTTTGGCTTTTTCAAACATCTTTATTGTTGTTTATCTCTCCTTCCTTCTCCTGCATTACCTTCCCTCTTTCTGCAGTTAAAGTTTCTGATCCACTGTTTTTTCCTATTTCTCCATTTCTAGCACCTGTGTCCTACTATGGCCCTCTCTGTAAATCATTCTCTCTACATCCCCTCATGATCTCTTTTCAATTCCTATTTGGAGAATGAAGTGAGCTAAGTGGTTTTGAAGCAGGTGACTCAAATCTAGAATCTGATATGTTTGATGAAAGAAACTGAATAATAAGTGAAACACCTAGTGTACTCCAACTGGAAAAACCCAATATTTGACAAACTAATAAAAAATAAATGATATTTTCTCACCACTAAATATACCATGTATATTAGTGTGTAGTTGATTGAATGGTTAGTGTTACATCAGTCTGTATTGTTCTATATTAAACACTGGCTTAAGATAAAAAGTGTATATCAGGGGAAAATGTACATTTGGGGAGCCATGATGTAGGTAATAAGCTAAAAATAAACTTCCTTAAAATGTGGTC